ACTGGAAAGTCATCTGGTGTTTTATTTTGGATGCCTACTGGAACCATCCTTTCCTGTTTTTGTATATGTTTTGATATTGTTTGCTGTCTTTGGGGCATCCCATAGTTATTTTCCTCATTTATTGATTGTAGATTTGTTTGTTTTGTCCTGCTTTTTTATTTGGTTATGTCTGAGTAGGCAGGCTGGGCGTTTTGTTGTTTGCTTGTATGTGGGCACGATACTTTTCACCTCCATCTCCAATGGCAGGGTCAGTCACTCAGGTATGGTACAGCAGGTCAGGTCCAGCTGAAGGGGAGTTGCTGGGATGGGTTGTTTCTGGCACGTATTGGGGATGACAGTACAGTCTAAGAATCAGTGCAGGGCAGGTTCCAGTAGGCCATGCCTGTGATGCTTGGGAGTGTGATGTTCAGCGCATGGTGCAGGAAGGTAAGAAGGAGGGGTGAGACTGTGATATGTGGAGCTAAGATGTGTATGGGAAAGATGAGAGACAGGAAAGAGGAACAGGAGCCAAAAGCATATACACAAATGAAAAAGAGTGCTAAGGGGGCTTGCTACTGGAGTGGACAGATGAGAGACTGACAAATGGGGAAAAAAAATGAAAAAAAAAAGAAAAAGGGTAAAAGAAAAAACAAGTAAATCGAGAAATTGGAAATGAAGAAAGACAAAAAGAATAAGAGAGAGAAGGAAACAAAACAAAGAAACAAACAAACAAAAAAAACAAAAAAACAAAAGAAAAAGAAATGCCCCCAGGGATGTCCCTGTGCGTCTGCACAGACTAAGGGAGTAGCTTCCAAGCCGTGTGGTACTGCCCGCCTAGAAGGGGCTCCCAAGCTGAGAAAAGAAAAAGAAAACAAACAAATCAAAACAGAACAAATCAGAGCAAACAAACAAAAAGCCCTGGGGGCTTTTCAAGTGGTGTTTCACAGCCTTTCAGGAAGGAGTAAAGATGGCACACGGAGCCAGGTACTTGAGAGAAAGGAGAGGGAGGTGGTGAGAGGTAAGGAAGAAACCTAAAGAAGTGGAAAAAAGTAACACCAGCAGCCAACAAATGGCACTCAGGGAGTAGGCCAATTCAGGTGGGTAGAATCCGAGTGACATCAAGGTGAAACCGATGCTTCCCGGCTAAGAGACTGTGGCTGCAGGAAGCAGAGGAGGCCGAGTGGGGGTGAAGAACGGTGGGGGGTGGGACAACGTATATCACTGGTTACTGGTTGTTCTGTCTCCTTCTGGAAGTTCCGTGAAGCTGCTTTCTCGTACCCCGTTTGCTGATCTCCAATAGGAGTCCAAGATGGCGGATCCTTGCTGCGGTAGCTGATAGGAGACCTCTGCATGTATCTCTCCTCGCTCTCTGTTCTCGGTCAGTTTCTTATTCCATTCGGTGCTTGGCTGAGTTCTTTATCTCTTCATTTGATGCTTAGGGTTTCAGGATTGACGTGTGACTCTGTTTGACTTAGTTTTTCAGATCTTTGCTGCGAAGGGATGGTGTGGTGCTTCTGACTATAGCACCATGTTGCCCACAAGTCCAAAATTAGTTGCATTTCTATACACCAGCAGTGGACAGTTAGAAATGTATTTTAAAAACCACGTATAAAAACATAAAAAAAAATTAAGTATCTAGGAATAAATCTTACAAAAACCGTGTAAGACTTTTATGGAGAAAATGATGAAAATATTAATGACATTAAAGAAGACCTAAATAGAGCTATATCATAAAATATAGTTAAAATTAAATTCTCTCCAAATTCATCTGAAGAGTCAATATAATTCCAACAAAAATTCAAACAATTTTTTTAACTTCAAAAAATGTTTTAAAAATTTATATAGCAGGGCAAAGTCAAGACAGTCAAGATAGTCAAGACGGTCTTGAAGTAGAAAAGACAGGTGAGCTTTGCCTTACCAGGGCTTAATAATTAGAGAGCTATATTAACAAGACAGAGCAGTTCTGGCACAGAGGTAGACCCCAGAAATAGACCCATGTACATATGGAAACTTGATTTCTCATAAAGTTTGGACTGCAGATCAATGGCGAAAGGACAGGCTTTTCAATAAATGGTGCTGGAAGAACTGGTATCCATATGGAAAAAAAAGTATATTGGATCTTATCCTATACATGAAAAACAATTTCAGGTGGATTAAAAACTCAAATGTAAAAGACAAAACTCTAAAACTCTTAGAAGACAATCGAGGAGAATACCTTTATGATCTTGTAGAGGATTTCTTAAGTTCAAAGGATAAATTAAACTTAAGAACTTCTATTCATCAAAGGCATTATAAATTAAAAACCTAACCTCCCAAATGTGTAACAAGTATTACTAACAAAGAATTAGTATTCATAATACATAAATAACTCCTACAAATCCAAGAGAATATGGGCAAAAAACTTCCATAGCCACATCCCAGAAGAAGAAACCCAAATAGTCAATAAACATATGAAAAGATGTTCAACCTCATTAGTAATAACAGAAATACGAATTAAAACCACAATGGAATGGAACCATATCAGATTAATAAAAAATTAAAAAGCAGGATAACTATAAGAAGTGGATTAAAGAAATACACGTCTCCTCATATGCACA